CAGCTCCTTTACATGTGTCAAATTATCATAATTTAGTTTGGCGGAAAATTGAGAACGAGATCAAGGCTCACCCGGAGCTGTAGAACCAAAAGATGATGATGATGTGTCAAATTATCGTATTCATCTATTAGTTTCTATTATTTACTATGATCTTGTTAGCAGGTTTTCAATATTTTTGAACGAATATACTTGTATTTTAAAAAATACAAATGTATGTGGCCAATTTCATACAATTACCCTACTATGTCACCTCCTAGTAATTTTACTTTTTATTTTTTATTGAAGAAAGAAAATAAAACCAAAATAAAAATCTCCCATTCTATACTAACAAGTGAATAACACTATTATTGTCACCATTGACTTCACCGTCTGTTAATTTGTTTATTATTTAAGTGTATATGCACATGTACATACATAATATGTATATATGTTACATGTATAATGTATAATAATAATTTAGTTAATGAAATACGGATTATTTAAAACGAAAAGAAAAAGGAATCCATAAAAAATATCAAAGTAAATTATTAAAAAAAAGTAACTATGTATGAACAAATATTCACACTTATAATAATATAATATTATAAGAGCTTAATGTCAAAAAACTTTCGGAAGCCTCGTTATTGATACAAACAAGATTTTATGACAAAAATTAAAAGTAAAAATTTATTGTAACTACTAAAATACAGAGACTCGTAGAGAATTTTATGCAAAAAATTTTTTAATTGGAAATTATGAAATTTCATTTTATTAATTATTTAAAATTTCCTTTGTTTTCTAGAACACTTTAGCATAGCTAAATTTTAATTTTTTAACTTCTTTAACTACAGGAAAATCCTGTATCATTTTCAATATGACTCACTGTATATATTTTATTCACATGTAATAAAAATATACGGGAATAAGGGGCACGAAAAAATAGTGTTAAATTCAATTTTTGACTTAGATATGCGAATACATTTTGTGCAAAATAATTTTGATTTTAAATATATTTTACACTTTTATTTGGTTCTGAAAACTATTATATGCCTTTTATTTTTCGTTGCTGAAAAGATTGAGAAAATTTTGTATACAGTATTTGTATTAAGATACGATTAAAATCTAAAATTGTCATAAAACTGAGTCTGAATTCATTGAATTACTGACTACTAAATCCAATTCGTTGCTTGTCCTATTGCTTGTCGTATGCTGTAGGCAATACGGATTTTTGATGAATATTAACAAAATTCTGTACCTAAAGTTCTCTCAAATTATTCGGATCTTTTTTTATGGAATAAAATTGAGGCTTTTACCTCAAACGTTATTTTTCAAAGAAAACTTTAAAAATCGGTTAGCAGACAAGTTTAAAAAATATTTTTATCTTGAATTTTTCATTTGTAAATAGTGCATCATTGTGCAATAATTCAGATATTATGCAAGTGCGTATTTAAAACGCAAAAAAAATTGATATTTTCTTTATGATAAAAATGAGGAAAAATTTTAAGAATAAAATGAGGCATTGAAGAAATTTCCTAGTGTGTGCAATTTTTCTTTTTTTTTCTATTTTTAAAAATTTTATTCGATTTTTTATGGCAATTTAAAACGAGAATCTCATAGCTTTCGTATATTGTGAAAATTAGATTCAAGTGAAGTGAATAATAAATTTTAATGCAATTTCTTGATTTCTCATTTTATTTTTGCCTTGTATAGAATCAGAAATAGATAAAGTGTGTAAAATTATATGTGTAAAATATAAGAGAATAAAAACAGAATAAAAATTTATGAATTTTATTTGTCCTTCAAAATTTATGTTGTACGTCTTCTAATAAAAAGTTTATTTATTTCCTTATTATAATCACATGTCACAGTTAGGAATTTCCTTATTTTTTTTTTACATTATACACTTCTAATTGCACTTAGTGTTATTAAGTATTTCGTTTATAAATTAGAAGTCAAGGATAATTTTTCACTATAATTAACTAAAAAGTTATTACATATTTTTTATTTCAATGAAATTGATTTATTTTAGTAAATGTATTAATTAAAATTTTATGAGAGAATTAAATTTTATGAAAAATTTAAAAATTTACATGCAAATAAATGGAAATTGGGAATCGCGATAGTTGTCGAATTTGGGGTTAAATATGAAATGTGAAGAAAATGTAACTCCGAATTGAAATTAGAGTTGCAAAATTTTAGAATTGAATTTAGAGAAAACGAAAAATTAGATTAAAATTTTATTCAAATAATTCGAATTCTTAAAAATTCCTAAAACTTTAATTTTTTTACTTGCTATATTCGTCAGCATCTCAATCATTTTCATATTTCAAAATTTTCTTACATAAGAAGAAAATTTTTTTGTTTTTTTTCGTGAAATCCTTTTTCTTTTTTGTTTTTTATTAGAAAAATTTATTTTTACTTTGTCTACAATGTGATTCGTTTAACTACGCAGTTTTCCGAAAATGAATATTTTTCAAATTTAAAATTTTTTGTGTTTTTATGTGTGTATATGTATGTATTTGTCTACTTATATAATTTTTCTTTGTTAACCGAAAAAATAAAAATTTGCAAAACAAATTTTTTTTTTCATTTGTCTTCAAAAATTTTATTTTGATTTTATTATGATTTTTTTCAATCTTAAATAATTGTAAATATTTTGATTTAATTTTAAAGAATGCTAAATGTACTGCACAAGGCAGTTAGCAACACAGTTTCTCAATATTAAAATAAATGTGTAAAATTGTTAAATTCAATTAAAATTCAAAAATCATGAAATTGCATTTGGCTACTTGGCTATTTATTTTGTAATTATAGCAAAACAAAATGTACCAATTTCATCTCATCCTTTCAAGTAAAACTAAAATTGTTGCCGCTAAAGATCTTGTACCATCCTTAAATATTTGATCACAAAACAATACTTATATAATAATTTCCAATGATTATTATAACAGAGCACTTTGAATATGGTTAATTCTTCTCATTTCTTCTTTCTTAAACAGATTCCTAAAGATTTAATTTTCAAAAACTCTAAATTTCGTATATCTACGCAAATTAACTTTTATCCGTCTTTGTTATAAATTAATTAATAAAATTGAACTACTGTATTGTTGCTATAATTATTTTGTAAATAATTTCAAGACACCCTACTGTAATAGAGAAATATTGTCATTACCGTTTGAATAACACTGTATGTTTTCTTTTTGATTTACTCGACCTGATGTATATGCAATAGACACACTTTTACTAAAAATACATAAGTAATACACATAATTCAATTTTTTGATGTTTTCTTAATGCGGAATTTCATTTTCTAAAAATATAAATTACGTTTTCCATGACTTCTTGGTCTTTATGATTTTTCTTTTTTGTTTTTCTTTAATATATGATGTACATATATATATATACATATATGTATTTGTGTATGTAAAAATGTTGAAAATAATTTTTCCTAAAATTTATTCCGCATATTTTTTAAATAAAATTATTTTACTTTTTAATTATAGCCAATTTATTAAAGGCATCGGAATGTGCTATTATTCCAAATCTGCAAATTACTTAATTTAATAAAGTAGTTTTTTTTTCATTTTAATTAAATTATTGAATTCAAAATAAATTGCAGAAAAAAAAGCATTGATTAGAAAACTAAATTTTTACATTATAATTAAGCGTAATAATAAAATAAAGTAAAAAATTTGTATTTTTATGCATTTCAATAGATTTTCATAAATATATGGAATTTATTACCATTAACACATCGTTAGTTTTTTTTTTTTCAAATTAAATAAAGTGTAATATACGAAAATTGTAATTCCGTTTGTAATTGAGAGTAATGATGACGTCACAGAAATCCCGGAAACGAAAATCTAATAAAGTGCGAAATGCACTCTTTTCAAACTCATTTTGAAAACTGACATAATTAAGACTGAATTGAGTAACTTTTTCTTAATTGAGGTTTGAAAAAAATTACTATTATAATTCGAATATTCAAAAGTTCGAAATTATAATTCGAATATGCAAAAGTCTGAAATGATAATAAGAATCTTTAAAATTTTGAAACTACAATTCGAATACAGTATGCAAAAATTATTTTGCTGACATTTACATAAAATACGAAGAAATTATGGTATTTTTTTAGGAAAATGCCAAAAGTAGAATTTAACGTATGCTTGTTGCAGAAAAGTACAGTTATTTCTCAATAAGCAATGCTGATTTAATTAATAAAATTCATCTTATATGAGAATGTCTCAAGGCAAACTTAATTATACCTTTATATTTCCTAATTTAAATTAAAAATAAATATTTTACATTTTTGATACGTTAATCATTTTCGTATTCACATATTGATTTTGTAGTTTTCTAGATACAGTTAATTGCAAACTTATTTTTATTTTATGTAAGTTTGCAACTAAGAAATAGAGAAAAACTGAAAAATATGGAATAACCATATAAAAAATTTCTCTATTGAATTTTAATGAATCGGTCAATCACAATCGTTAAATCAAATTAGGTGATTTCTCCGATTTTTTTTAGTGTCAAAAGTGAACATGATTTGTATTTAATCTAGGTTTAATTAAAACGAAAAAAGTAAAAAAACAAAAACTTGTAGATTTATTTATACATATGTATAATAATTTTAACACTAAATAGCAATGTGATATCTAACGATGATAATTGAATGAACAATTAGAGAGAGAGAGATGAAGATTTTACCGTAATTTTTAATGTAATTTGATTTTTTATATTTTTAATGAATTATTAGCATTCATACTTGGTAACTCTATTGCTTCTCAGTAAAAATGAGTTAAAAAAAAGTGACTCATCTTATGTGACATTAGGTGATGTTCATTTGTTGTTGATTATACCATAATAATATTGGGTACTCTTCGACTATCGTTAATGTGACTAATAAAAGAAAAATTTTCTTATTTTTTGTTTTTGAAAATATTTAAATTAATTTACCAGTTAGCTATAACTTTTCTGTTCAAAAAATTAATCATATTTTTTTTCTTTTAATTTTACAGATTACTCAAAACTTGAATAGAAATAAAGAAAAAAGGACGAATAAGGAAGTTGATTCTTTTTTTTAATTTTCTGAACGAGAAAAGGATTTATAAACTTTTATAAAAGAAAAAATTTATTTTGATAAGAAAAAATAATTATTTAAAAAAAAAATGGGTACTTTTGACTGTTGGAATGCATTTTCATTATCAAATGATGAAACAGATAGAATGGAATTTTTATTAGATAGAGAAATTGATACATACGTATGTAATAATTATGACGATCTATCATTTATACATTCAGATCTATATAATTTGGATACATATCGTAGTATACATGATGATATAAAACAAATTGAATCATCTGGTTCAACAGCAGCATCAGATGCAAGTGTTACATCAGAACCAGAAATAGATATAAAACCAAAAACAGAAATACGTAATGTTGATTGTATGTGGTCTGGTTTAGGTAATTTATGGGATAGAAAAACAACAAATCAAAGATCAAATAATCAACAACAAACACAATCACAACAGCAACAACAACAACGACAACAAAATTCTTCTTTAATACAAAATAATGGTGTTAATTCAAATTATGGTTTAAATGGTATTAATAATAGCAGTAACACAAATAATAATAGTAATAATGGTGGTAGTAATAACGGTGGAATATCAACAGCAACAACAACAAAATTATCAGCAAAAAATATACAAAATATTCCACCAGGTGCATCATTATTAATTAATTCACGTTTAAATCAACAAAAGAAATCACAGTCATCACCATCATCTAAATATCATAATAACAGCAATAATAATAGTATATCAACATTAATACCAAATATATTGGCATCAGATTTCATAAAAGATCGTGAATCAATGCAACAGCAACAAAGTCATCATCATAATCATCATCATAATAATTATAATAATAATACATCAAATTTATTAAATAATAATAATATAATATTAGCTAGACCAGATACACCATTAAGTTTAGATGATGATGCACCAGAATTTAAACATTCTGTTGATTTAGCTGCATGTATAACAGGATCAAATAATATATGTTTAGATTTAAATAATATACAAGATACAACTGATAAAATGATTATAAATAAATTAAAAGAACAATTAGAAGATACAAGTACAGATAATATTGATATTAGAAATATAATACCAGGTAATAATAATAATAAAAAACGTTCCTTAACAGAAGTTTTACATGCAATTGGTTCAATTGATAAAGATTATTTTTCAAATGATAATAATAATTTTATAAATCTTGGAAGTAATAATATTGATTTATTAACAATACAACAGCATAATAATATTATAAATCAACAGAAACAAAAACAAACATCAATATATGATTATGGTTCAAATACAGCACCAGATAGTGAATTATCACAATCAAGTTCAGAATCTGAAGGTGATGATTTAGATGATGATGATGATGATGAAGATGATGATGGTGAATATGATGATGATAATATTATAAATAATAGTGATGTTATTGGTGTTATTGATGGTGTTAATGGTGGTGTTAATGATAGTTGCGGTAATGGTATTAATAATAAACATGTTTCAAATATATTTAGAATACCATCAACATCACAATTTCGTAAAAATAACAATTATACAACATATATTGATCATAGTTATACAAGAAGTAATGAAAGTAATGTTGATGTTGTTGGTATTGGATTAGAGACGCCATCCGATTCTGGTAAGTTTATTTTTTTTTTTTTATTGTTATTATTCCATTTTTTAGATTGATAAATTTTTCAATTATGTACATAAAATCAAATTTTGTTTTGGAGATTCTTTATTTGCCATCGTATGTTTTTTGATATAATAATATTGAATTAAATAATTCACGCATAAGGATTTAGAGAACAAAGAAAAAATTTTAAATAAATTTACTTTATGCGCGAAATTATTAATAATTGATAACAATTGCAAACTTTATTATTGTTTGATTCCATCACAAGTTTAAATGACATATATCGAACACGTTCGAACGAGCAATGTTTTTTACGATAATGTCTTGCGCACGTCCTGTCCTCCCAATAATAATTTCTAAAAATACAAATCGCATTTATTTACTTATTCTCAAACAGATTTTTATAATACTTAATCATAATTCATTGAAATGACATTTGATATAAATTTTTCGAACATGTTCGATCGAATATTTTGATTTATAAAAAATTCTCTCTTAAAAGCAATAATTTTTAAATTAAAATAATTGTATTAAAAAGTAGAAAATTTTTCAAATAATTTAATAATAAATTATTAAAATGAAATTTAAATAGATTATCATTTATTTAACTTGACTGAAAAGTTTCTTATCAAAACATAATTCTTTTTATTCTAATTTTTGTTCTTTTTTTGTTGATGAAAATTTTTGATAATCGTTTCAAATCAAACGTTAAACTTTTTATAGAAAAATTTTTTTTTCTTCTTTACTTTCATAAGTATTTGTGATACTGTCTACCTTTTTTACATGAATTTTTTGTTTTATTTTTTTTGAGGGAAAATTCTCCTTCCTTGAAGTTTCTTGAACCTAGGTTAATATCATAATAAATGAAATGGAAAATAAATAATAAGTATTTTTGTAGGTATATAAAACCAACTCGTGTGTCTGTATCGAAAGAAGTCATTTTTCCTTTTCCATTTTTTTATGAGATTATGGTTTTTTGTATTCAGTCAAAAATAAAACAATTTTACCTATATGTATCTCTCTTATATATTACATATTGCATATTCTCATATACCATGTCTTTACTAGTTTTCATTTAAAAAATAAAGAAAATAAAATTTTGATTCTGAACAAATATGAATTTCAATCGTAACATGAATATAAAAGATATAGCATGAGTTTATAGCATGATATATATATATATATATATATATATATATATATATCATGCTATAAACTCATATATATATATTTATTATATTAACAGTATTAAGTATAGGATGATGTCAAAAAGATAATCTTCAAAATAAGAAATAAAATATGAAAATCAGTAAAATCATTTATTATGTTGTATATGTATGTGTTGTGAATGCCGAATAAGGAGACAAAAATCGATATTTAACACGCGCTTCATTCAGTTAAAATGGAAAAACAATAAGAATCAAATATAAGTCCTGGTTTCCTCCCAAATAGCAAACAATAGAACAAATCTTTTTTTGATACTCCGATAGATTTCACTCCTTAATCTCTGTTCACAAATTAGAGGAAATATTCTGTAATGGAATTTATCGTGTTCGTATGTATCTATAACCAGATTTGCTGTGGCAGCTTACAAATATAAAATTTTAACTCTTGTTCTGAACTCAGCTCAATTAAAAAACCTCTAATTTGTATAAATATAATTCAAGACTTTCGTCTAGTACTGTTTGTATATAAATTTGTATATTATTAACATACAAATATACATACATTTAAGTTTAATATTGTTCTACAAACTTAAATAACATACTTTATACATGTGAATAATACAAAGATTACAGAAGTTTCGCAAATACATGTACAATACATGTAAATGGGTACAAGTATACAATCATAACTTGTGCATAACAAGTACATAGCCTCATAAACATGTATATATATGTTATAAACTTGCTTATACCGGCTAAAAATAAAACAAATTTTTTTGAATATATGCTTATATGTTTCCATTTGGAAAGGAAGGGTAACGGGGCTTAAAGAGAGAATAATAGCAAAAAAAAAAGCTGTGTCAGACATGCGCATTCAATTAGTGATTACATTACAGTACAGAATTTCATAATACTGTAAGAGAATATGTTTTAATGTATAGTAGAGGAAGGGGAAAGAAAGAGAAAAGGAAAAAAGAAAGCATATACTCAAAAAATCTCTTCTAAAAGTTTTTGTTCTGTTTTAACGAAAAATCTTAGATAACCAGAAAAAAAGCAAAATTTATAGAGAGGGCGAAAGGATAACGTGAACCCAAACCACCAAAACCCATATTAAATGTATAACATGCAATCATACTTGACTTCTGTTTGTATGAATGTTAATAAGTGTTGCTGAAGTCTTCAATTTTTTTTTTATCTTGCAGCATTCTCTTGTTCAACTCACAACCTTATGTCTACATTTTTTTTTTATTACGATTTTCAATTGAGACTTCCATTAAACGATTCATGTTCCTTTTTTTTTTGTTTACTTTTGTTATTCTTTTACTCATGCCAATGCTCTTTTAATCTATTGCACACTCAATCTTTATGTACTTACTTTAAAGAAAAATGGTAAATGATAACTGAACACACGAAAAATTCCCCAAAAACAAAAAGAAATGAAAATAATTACGTGCTCCGGAAGAAGAGAGGAGGGGTAATAGAGAAAAAGAGACAAAAAAACCGGGCAACCCCAATTTTTAAATTTTAAATTAGGAATCCTTTTTTTTGTTTTTTAATTTATTTACTGGTTTGTTCTTTTAGTTTAAAAACTTATTGTTTCTATATATATGTACATACATAGTTAGTTAGACCTTATGCATTTGTATAACAAGAAATTTTTAAATTACCTTAAAAAACGCTTTGAAATATTTTTATATATTTCTTGTTGAAAGGAAGGGCTACTCAAAATATAGAGAAAAGGGGGTAAAAGAAATTTTAAAGATAACAGACGCCTTTTATACTGCAATATGTCAGCATGGTTATTAAAGTAAATTCTTGTACTTAACTACGACCAAATTTCCGAGTCCTTTTTTTTTTTATTTTCTTCTTCTTTTTTGATTTGTTTCCTTTCCTTTTTTAGGCTCTTGTTCTAAATTTTTTTTTTCTTTTATTGATTGTTTTAAATTAATTTTTAATATAATATTTTTTTGTATATGGAAATGAGTGCTTCAATTAAGTTTCCATTTACATTTTTTTTTGATTCTCACAAATCACAAACTCATTGAAATGAAAACAAAAACTGAATGTTTACAATTGTTTGCTGAGAAAAATCACTAATTCGGAAGAAAATGCAAAAGTAACGTCAATTTGACTCATAAATATAATTTTAATTACTGAGTACAGTAGAATGCAAATAAATTCTAACATCGATATTGTAGAAATCCCGCAAAAATACAATCAACACTTATGAGCTGGATTGAGTAATCAATACAGTATTACCAAGGTTCCGACGATACAATTTCAATATAAAATTTAATTTAGAATTTCAATTTAATTCTAAAATTTTGAACGGATTCGTCTGTAAAACGTTTATATAAAATTAGGTAATTTCAAATTTCATGTAATAAAAAATTTTTTTAAATCATGAAAAAAACTGATTCACATTATAAAATTATTAGATTGTACATTACCCTCTAGTTAATTACACGCTAATATAAAATTGTAAAATATTTTCAACTTTTTTTTTACAACATATTTTAGTAATTATATTATAAACTCTTTATAAAATTAAAAGAAAAAGAAAATTCATAATTTTTTATAACATGTTTAAAACGTATACAATATGCACATACAATATAACAATAAAAAAAATTGCATATTTCTTGGCTTATCCCCTTGTTCATTTCACTATTAAAGTGATGATATTTTAATAAAATTATTGCGGTTTTTTTTAACATAATTAATAACTACCGGTTAAAAAAGTAAAATGGAAAAAAATCAAAAATATTTTTGTATTATTAAAATAACAATGTATGGAAATATTTTTTTTTTTTAATTATTTCCTTAATTTCAGTAGAAAATATAAAAATTATTATAGCACTTTATATTATGTGGAGTGCTGCCTATATTTCGAGATTATATTCGTCGTATATATTTTATGTTATAATACTGTACTACACTTTCCAACATTATTCTTCAAATAACATAAAATTAAATTACAATATTATGTGTATGTATGTATGTATATACATATATATAAATTGTACAACAGCATTTTATGAGTTTTATGTGAAAAAATGTAAAATCAGCATAAATTACATATATTTTTTATGATATAAACTTGAATTTTTTTATATACCAATGAAAATAAATAGAAAATTTTTTTTAAAATAAATACTCTAAATTATATATATATATGTATATACATCTCGTTTATATATATTTAAATTAATATGTTTATAAGCATATAATAAAATTTAATATGCATGCAATTTTTTATAGTACATAATTATTATTATGCATATTATTATAATTGAATAATAAGCTCTTGGATTATATTAAAATATGGTGCCGTACTATAAAAGCCTTACTATTATATACAATATAAGTCAAAGAAATGTTTTTTCTTACTGTTTTGTAAGTTTTGTTGCTATGCAATTTATTAACTAGAAAATTTTCAAATTGTAAATTATTTTTTGTTTCATTGTCATGCGAATAATATCTCCAAATATTTTGAGGAAAATTTAATATAAATGACATTAAATAATTTTTCAAACAATTTTTTTTTTTGGAGAATTTTCTTTAAATTACCTATGTTTCTGGGATAATACAAAACCGGCTTATAACTACAAAATTGACATAAGTACAAATGCTCTATTTCTATTTCTGTTGCACGTAATAAATAAAACAATAAATGTCTTAATATTAAAAATGCTGTTGTTAAACTCTTTGCGTCGAATTTCCGAATTCGAGTTTTTCTGCAAATGTTACTTATTGATTTAAATTATATTGTTCAAATTTGCCTAATTTCAAATTTATTTAAGACATTTAGAATAAGTAATTCATATATTTTACATA